GGTCAAGTTCGAAGATAACCTATCGGTCCACGAAATCCTATAGCCCCCATATAATGGCCACATTTTAGAAAGGAATTGTCTGAAATTCTACACAAGGAGTTCTTTGCGAGTACTTTACCCCTTGAAAGAGAATTGTCTATATAGGACCACGATATCGTATTGCCCCCATATGACGATACCCCCCGATATTCGGTATTTTAATGATTTTAGCCACATTTTTCAAAGGAATTGTCCGAAATTCTACACAAGGAGTTCTTTGTGAGTACTTAACCCCCTGAAAGAGAACTTCTATATAAGACCACGATATCGTATATCCCCTATTTAAAGGTACCTTTCGATATTCGGTATTGTTATGATTTTAGCGGCATTTTCTATTGGAATTGTATGAAAATCCAAACAAGGAGTTCCTTCTGAGTACTTTATTCATTGGAAGAGAATTATAACGGTACAGTAACTCCCCCCTTTTTTGTATTTTAATAATTTTAGACACATTTTTCAAAGGAATTGTCTGAAAAAACCACATCGCTCGTTACCGTGATACTGGTAGCGTAGCCCGACATCAAGGAAGTGAATGGAAAAAAACAGCAACACCAGCAAATGTGGTTCAAAAAGTAAAGAAGCGTCTTGATCAAAACCTGCGTCGCAATGGCCGAAAAATGGCTCGTGAGATGAAAATATCGCAATATTACATTTGGCAAATATTGAAAAATGAGCTCCGAGTGAAGCCATTGAAATTCCAAAAAGTGCAAGAACTTACACCGCAACAGAAAGAAAGTAGGCTCAAAAGAGCTAAAGAGTTCCTTCGCTTCGTCGAAAGTGGTGAACTGCCGAGTTTGGTTTTCTCCGATGAGAAAACATTCGTTGTCCAGAAGTTTGTAAACAAATAAGATGATCGTGTTTACTTGCCAAAGAGGTCAGCTGGAAATGTGAACCTTCGGTTGGCCACCAGAACTCATGCGCCGGCCATGGTGATGGTGTGGGCCGCCGTAAGAGCCGATGGTCGCTCTTCGCTCGTATTAATCGACCGTGGCATCAAAATAAATGCCGAATATTATCGCAAAAATATTCTGGAGGGTGTATTAAAGCCTTGGGCACGCAAACATTTTGACCGCAGACTCTGGATATTCCAACAGGACCCAGCACCATCTCACTCAGCACGCGCCACCCAGCGCACAATGGCCACCAAAATCCCCGGATACCAATCCGTTGAACTATTGTGTCTGGAGTATTTTGGAAAGCAAGGTTGGCACAAAAAAATACCAGAGTATCGATCACCTCAAGCAAGCACTTCGCTAGGAATGGGCCAAACTACTGCAAAACAATATTTGGGCAGCATGTGACGGTTTCATTGGCCGTTTGAAGACCATAACTCGTGCCAAAGGTGACAAATTCGAACAAATCTAAACTTATTCTAAAATTTGATGCTATTTCCGACAATTTTGCTTTCATTCAATAAAATTAAAAAAAATATTTCGTTTGACATTGTTGCAGTTTTTTAATCTCACTCCTTATATCAGCCTCTGAACGTTAACGTATAAGAAAATATTGAAAAATCAATTAATTTTTAAGTGAATCTTTAATGTTTTTGACATATTAATGTTCACAAGAGCAGGTGCAACTACATATTCAGCATGGTAGAAGTATCATGCTGAATATGTTTGCATACATAGTTCTTTAATTAGCAACATTACTTTAAAACGGTTGAACAGTATTCAAGGTTGAATCAGCAGACGTTGACGTTGATTCGGTGGTAGATGTCGATGACTCTTCCGGAACTTTGCCCGCTAAACAGTCTTGTAATTCAGCATGGACTTTCGTAGAATCTCGTACATATGTTTCCGAGGCCTTAGACGTACACACGTTTTGAGCATACTGAATGGTTTCGTACTTCAATGTGATATACTGCATACGATCCTGGGACAAGGTTTGAATACTATAGGCTTTAGAAATTGCTTTACCAGCCTAATGGACAATGGGAAAAAATAAAATATTTGAAAAAAAAAAAAAAAACATATATAAACATTTAATAATTAAGAACATGTACGCATTTTTCTATGAAAGAATTTGAAAACAAAATCATTAAAAAAATAATAACTTACTGCATCATTACTGCACTCAAAGTAGCCATAGGGATCCGAATCGAAAACACATTCGGCGAAACCTTGACAAATTTCATCACGGGTACTATTCACAACGGATACATCTGGTTCCAATTCATTTCGCAAAGCTTCTTTAGAATCTTCACTATTTTTCAAACACAATTGATAGTCTTCCTCATATACAGCTGTTAGATTGTTCAATTTTGGTAAATATACGGAGAAACATTCAGCACTCTTTAATGGATCGTATTGAATTGATGATGTCGATCGTAATATAGTATTGGCCAAATTAAGTTCGACCTGTGATTTTTCAGCAACGCCAATTTCCAATAGCGCAAATAACGCTAAAATTCCCGAACTAACTTTGAACATTGCGCAAAATTCACGTTGAAGTTAAAGGGGTTTAGTAATGATTGTTACTTTTGGTACTAATGACGGTCGTTTTTATATCGAATCATTTTTTTGAAATTGTCATTACCTCTTGAGATAAAAATAGTAAATACTTCAAAAAATAAAAACATTTTCTTAGAAAACAAATTACAGAATAGTTTCGAGTGCACGAATGAAATCATCTGGTCTTTATTATACTGTGGTAGGTCGTTGAGGTCTGTAAGACCCGAAGGGATTTTTTACAAAGTCTTCAAACTATGCAGATTGAAAACTGTTATATTTTTATATGTTGTAAAGATTACTTTTCTTTAGGAAATGGCATCGTCAATAAATAAATAAATTTAGTTTGTAGGATATGCTATCTCGATCTAAGTGTTGACAGAAATATTGTTAAAGGCAAAGTTTGAAATAAATCTGCTACTGCCTTTAAGAATTAAGGCCATATATTTAGAATGTTTGAGGCATAAGTCATCGACTGGTATTTATTGCAATTACAATGGCCTAGATCATAATTCAGAAAAAATCGTATGTGTCCATGCATTTATACATGGCAGAAGAATACAGGTAGATGCATCAACGCTTGGGAGCATTGATATGTCAAAAAATTTTAAATGTTTTTTTCAAATATAAGTAGATTTTTATATGTTTTCTTATACTACGTTATTCGGAGGCTATTATAATTCGCGTTTTTCAACAATTTTTACAAATTTAAACAATTTTTCATTCAACATTTTCAATTCCAAAATTGGTTTGACAGTTCATTGTCCTAGCAGCTGTGTCGACGCGTCTACCTATATTTTTCTACCATGCATTTATAGCGATACAATAATTATTCTGAAGGTGGGGTTTTGTAATTTTAAATTTATTAAAACAAGTTGTTTTGCTTATTATCCACTTTTTCACAATATTTTAAAAAATGAATGGAGTGTCACAGATTTTCATTTTAAATTATTCCCCCAATAACTGCAAATTTGAGTTTATACTTCACGGCGTTGGCTAAAATTCCATGTACTCAGGCGACGTTTTCACCATAAAAGTAAAACACATGTATTTATATGAAAGTTACCCAAATACGTCGGACGTACGATATCTAAAAATTGAACAATTTCAACATTGATAAATGAATATTTTTATGTGTTGAAAATAGAAGTTCGGCCGGGCTGAACTTTTAATACCCTCCACCTTTTCGAAGGAACTTAAAAAAAATTAAAAAAAAACGAAAACCATGACAGAAGAATACAGGTAGATGCATCAACGCTTGGGAGCATTGATATGTCAAAAAAACATTTAAATGTTTTTTCAAATATAAGTAGATTTTTATATACTTTCATATAATACATCATTCGGAGGCTATTATAATTCACGTTTTTCAACAATTTTTACAAATTTAAATAATTTTTCATTCACATTTTCAATTCCAAAATTGGTTTGACAGTTCATTGTCCAAGCAGCTGTGTCGACGCATCTACCTATATTCTTCTACCATGACGAAAACTAACACTTAAATTAAAACCGTTATATGGAGACTATACGAAGACGTGGACCTGCATACGAAATTTTTGCCATAAGTTGTAGTACCCCTTACGAACAATAAATACGAAATTCAAAATAATTCCTGTAAATAATCATGAAAATACCGAATATTGGGAGGTGCCGTTATATGGCGGCTATACAAAGACGTGAAACTGCATACCAAAATTCTTGCCATAGGTTGTAGTACCCATTAGGACCTTCCAGTACGAAATTTGGTACCTTCCTATTTTCATGTTTTAGCATCAGTCATATTCATGGTAAAAGAATACAGGTAGTATCATCGATACAGCCATGGTAAAACAATATAGGTAGACGCATCGACACAGCTGCTGGGACAATGAACCAATTTTGGAATTTAAAATGTGAAATGAAAAATTATTTAAATTTGTAGAAATTGTTGAAAAAACGCGTTTATTAAAACATATAAAAATGTACTTATATTTGAAAAGACATTTTAAAAATTTTGACATATCAATGTTTTCAAGCGTTGATGCATATACCTGTATTCTTCTATCATGTATACAGCTGCTAAAACAATAAACTGTTAACCAATTTTGCAATTGAAAAAATTGAGAGAAAATTTATTGAATTTTTTAAAAACTGTTAAAAATGCGTACAATAGCAAACTTCCATTGACATCGTGTAAAAAAACATAAAAAAAAATATATTTTTTTTTTTTTTGACAAAACATTTAAAAAGAATTGACTTTGAATACTGAATTTCAATGTACCCAAGCTCAATCTCAATCGTCTTCCATGAAACAATGGGTGGACATGTTGTATTTTGCTTTATTTGACGTAAAATGTTTGTAAACTTATATAAATAAAGTTGATTATTATATATCAGTCACCAATGAAAGGGCCTGAATGTAAACATAACATGAGAATATGGACAATTATAAAATATTGAACAAATTAAATACATGAACTCGAGCAATAAAAGGAACTGTTTAAACCAGAGAGTTGCGACTAGTACACACAGTTCTCTCCGTGAATTATATTGATTGAATTACTTCGACCTAGAATGGGAAAACTCTTATAAATGAAAATATAATATAGAAATTAAGAGTAATCTCAGAAAAATGTGTAAAACATGAAATAAAGTTATATATTTTTAATATTCTCGAATCCCAAAGTGTATTAGATTGTTCCTAGAATACGTAGCATCGAAGTGAAAAAAACCATTTTACAAGGCACTAGCAAGTGAGAAAAATCGCATCACCACTACAAATCAATGAATCTGAAAAAAACCAAATTGCTCGCTAACACAAATCAATCTTTGTAGACACTGTAGGAAGGGACCAGTGTCTGTTTCCATTTGCCAAAAATGTCGGAAAAATCAGATCACATAACATTAACCCTTAATGAGTCGTCCTCATCGACATCTTCAGGTACCCAGTCCGGAAGTCGCAACAAAAGTCTCAGACGGGTATGTTTGTGTGTGATTTTTTTGTTTGTGTTTTGTATTAATTGAGCCCTTTCATTATCAATTCCCCCAATTATCTTTGTATAGTCATGGAATCAATTGCCACGATGTCAACGAAATCTAATCATTTTAATTATTGCGGCCATGTGCATAAGTTTTGTATTTCTACTGCCATCTGATTTAGTAACAAAGAATGCTGTGAACTTGGACACGAATGGATTACCTTTTACCGGGCAGACTGCTGTTAGGCGAAATAATTTAGGAGAGGGTCACAATGACGACAGTGTTAATAAAGTGATTTCTTCTCAAGGCGATTCCGCTGATTTAGCGCACAATTTGGCGGTAAGTGTAAATGTGTGTTGTCTTATCTTTAGCACGCTTCTGTAGTATATGAATTTATTGGCTTTAATAAATAATGCAACCGATAACTAATGGTAAATCTATAAACAAACTTTGTTACCAATTATGTTCAATTCAATAGGTGCGATAAAAGGTGTTTGATTTGTTGACACTCAGATTATTTAAAGAGTTGTTTTTTAGTAGATAAGAATACTTTTGAAAAATTGTGGTAGGGAAGTTATTCCGCATCGTCAAGAAGAATGTCGTTGAATGTATTTTTTTACTGCACTATTATCACAAGAAGAGTAGATTATTTTAAGTTAAATGTGTGTAGTAGCAAAAGTTGTCATAGGTGTTCGAGTAGTAAAATGATAAATAAAAATTAAAAATCATCCCCAAATAATAATTTTCCAAAACTATTTTTTGCAGTAGCGCCTACTTGCAAAAGTCCACAAATAAGTATTTCAAGTTATTATTCTGCATTTTGTGTAACGATTACGAACATTATAGATTATTGAATGACTTTCATTTAGGTCAACGACTCATTGTCCGTAGAATTTAATTTCGATGGCATAATCGTTATCTTATAACATAAATTATTAATTAGCTATATGCTTAATTCGATAATAACACAATCAATTGATATTTCATTCACAGCAGAATATTTTACCAGCGCCAGCACCACAAAAACAAGAACCACAACCGCAATCAGATATTGAAAATGTTGTCAATATTCCACAAACCCAAAGAGAACAACAACAAGAACATTTAAATATCAAACCAATAGAAACAGCACAGCTTGCCAGTATACTTAATAATGAGGTAAACAATGCAAATAATTTAAATCCCAGACATTCAAATAATCCTGACGAGGACCGTACGGCAATAGAGGCTTCCATACAAGATCCCTCAACTTTGCCAACTTTGAATGGTGTAACTATTGAAGAATTTTTGGGTCGTATTGATTTGAAACATTTGCCGCAAAAGCAACATTTTCACGGTCCTAATAATGAACGCCAAGAAGCCGTCGTCAATGCATTCCGTCACTCATGGGAGGGTTATAAAAAATATGCATGGGGTCACGACAACTTGAAACCTATGTCGGAGTCATCATACGATTGGTTTGGCTTGGGCTTAACGATTATCGATTCATTGGATACCATGTACATTATGGGCTTGGAAGATGGTAAAATTAATTATAGTTGTATAAATCTAAAATTCTTTATTATTTGTCCTTTCACTTCTTTGCAGAATTTGTGGAAGCTCGTAACTGGGTCAATGAATTTCTGAATTTTGATGTTAATCGTGATGTAAATTTATTCGAAGTAACAATTCGCATACTGGGAGGTTTGTTATCTGCGTATCACTTAAGTGCTGACAAAGTTTTCCTAAAAAAATCGGTAAGTATACATACTATTTAGTCTAATATATGTTTATTCTATGAAATTTTTAAAACTACAAAAAAAGTGACATTGATTTTTGGAATCAAAGTTTTTTTATTCAATTTAAAGTGTTATCACATAAGTATATCTTAATTGCATTTTAAAAACTCAAATATTTTGTAAATAACACATAGAAGCCTATTTACGTTTTTCTTTTGTTTACAGATTGAGTTAGGTAATCGTTTGTTACCTTGCTTCCTATCACCGTCAGGCATACCATACTCGGATGTGAATTTGGCAGCGTTATCAGCTCATGCCCCTAAATGGTCACCCGATAGTTCTACTAGTGAAGTAACAACAATCCAATTGGAATTTAGAGATTTAAGTCGTCTTACAAATGTCACTCTCTATGAAAGTGTAAGTAAATAAAATAGTATGAAAGTGTAAATAGATAAAATACGGTTGTATATCGCTTTTATTGTTTATTACAGGTTGCACATCGAGTTAATGAAAAGGTACATGCTTTGGAAAAGAATAACGGGTTGGTGCCAATATTCATCAATGCCAATACTGGAACGTTTAGGAATTATGCCACCATATCGTTAGGGGCTAGAGGTGATTCTTACTATGAGTACTTGATAAAACAGTGGATTCAAACTGGTCACAAAGGAAATGATTTGTAAGAAAACCAAAAACAAAAGACACATCATCCCACTAATATATATTTTTTGTAGCTTGGTTTCCGATTATATACAAGCAATTGATGGAGTATTCTCACAACTACTAAAACGAACTCCAAAAGAAAATCACGTCTACATTGGCGAATTAATTAATGGGAAAGAGTTTAAACCAAAAATGGATCATTTAACATGTTATTTACCTGGAACATTGCTGTTGGGTCATCATTATGGCATGCCCGATTCCCATCTACTACTGGCGAAAGATCTATTGGAAACATGCTATCAAACATATATGAAACAACCCACACAGTTGGCTCCAGAAATTTCCTACTTCGCTTTGACCGAAAGTGAAGAACTTGATATATATGTTAAGCCAAATGATGCTCATAATCTTCTCAGACCAGAATTTGTTGAAAGTTTGTATTATTTCTATGCACTAACTGGAAATCGTAGCTATCAGGATATGGGTTGGACTATATTCCAAGCATTTGAAAAATATGCTAAGGTAGCTCACGGTTATTCATCGATTGGAAATGTTAAGAATATATTCAATACACGTCTACGTGATATGATGGAAAGTTTTTGGCTGGGCGAAACCTTAAAGTATTTCTATCTGCTATTTAGTAATAATCCCAAAGAAATAGATTTAGAAAAATGGGTGTTTAATACGGAGGCTCATCCTCTGCCCGTTCGAGAAAACTAATTTAATAATATGATAACAAACAATACACTAAAACTAAGTAATAACATGTAGGAAGTATATCAAGTCTGAATATTATTGAAATTGTAAATAATGTATTTTTTTCAATTAATTTTTATCAGTACGTATCATCTTTTATTTTGTCTGAAGATGTGGTGTACTAAATATGTGCTGTGCATACAAAACTAATGTAATGAACCAACCATGATCCTCATTACAGGTAAACATCATAATTATATATAATTTATTTATGTTAATAATAATGAATCTCAAATGGTAATTTGACAGTGAAGTTGAATGTGTGTTTTTAAGGAGCATTGGTTGAACCGAATTCAAATGAACAAATTTACAGGTCTCAACTTATTTTCGGCAAAAATGTTTTTGCTGACAAATTACAACGATAAAGATGGACGTCAAATTAAACTAGAGGAAAACAGCGTTTTTTCTAAATTGACTTACGTCAATCGATAGGTGGATCTTTATCTTGTGAGATGTGAAAATTTTATTCTACCTTTAATGAGTCATATGGGCGAAATTTTCTCATTCAATGTCGAAAAAATCTCGATCGAAACAAAATTTTGTATGGACATTTTATATAGATGAAAAATTATTATTTTTATAGAAACTGCTGGATCTACGTCTAACATTCGGACTTCAGTAATTTCTTCAAAAAAAAACTTTTCAATAAAGCGAATGCAAAAATGTCACCCCATAATGAACAAGAAATTTCGCCCCTACCTAACAATGTTCGACTGTACACATCCGTGCTCTCTATCAAGCATTTTAGATGAGGCATAAACTTCTCTATATATATATATATATATATATATATATATATATATATATATATATATATATATATATATATATATATATATATAATTTATTAATGTGTAGAGTATTTTTAGTTAAAATAGCACTAAATTACTTAAACAAAAAACAATATGAACAGCAACTTATCTTGTAATACCAAATAGTATATAATAATGATATTCTCTCTACACAATAGATGATATTTTCCAACATTGAAATCTCATATAAGGCAAACTAATTGGAATCTTATATATAATGCCAAGCAATATATTATTTATATTTATAAATAATATAATTTTAATATTATTTTACAAAATATATGTGTTTTTCGTTGTTAGAATACTTTTAACGGAAAGTCAAGAATTAATTTTCAATAAAATTTGTTTAAAAATATACACTTTAAGTCTCGTTGACATCACCAAACATCGTTTTGTGTAAAAACCACCTAAAATTTATCAAAAAAAAAAAAAAAAAAAAAAAAAATTACTGGTTGCAATTTATTTAAAATATATCAATATTTAATTTATATATATTTATCTCTGTCGAATAAATCACATCTATAATAGATCTTTATTAAAAAAATATTTTTGCTTTGTGATATTTAGAACCTGCAATGAATTGGAAGGTAAGATTGCTTTTACTAAAATCAATTGACTTGAACCTTTTACTAACAATACTTGATTTGTTTTAATAACAATATTAAAAAAAAAATAGAAGAACATATTTTATGACAAAATGTAAAATTAGCGGCAAACTGGAAAAATTATATGCATTTCCTTTAGTAAAATTGTACGAAAATTCCCATTTTTAATTAGTTCCATAGTAGCCAATCCCTAACCTTTTGACCCAAACTTAAAGCTTTATATACTTGCCGTTTAATTTGAATAAACACAACAATTAAAAAACGCAGTGCATTGATATTTATTATAGAATATTTTTTATTAAATAGTATTTTTTGTGTTTTCTTGTTTAAAGTTTTTGTTTTTTTCATAATTTTTTTCTAATGAATAAATACAACAACGACACTTTTATTGTAATAAACTTAAAATAGCACATCATCATGTTTTTAACGTATGTCTTATGGAATTTGAAAGTGTGCGTGTGTATTATTCAATATATTGTTTCAGTTTATAGATTGTAGAGTTTGTTTTTCTTTCAGTTTTTGCGACTTTCATTGTAGTAATGCTTACATATCAGTTTTTTAGTATTTAAATCATATTTATTTCTAAATATTATTAAAATGTAATTCCTAATTTATAATATTCCTGTGAAAAAAGAACGTTGAGATCATCGGTTTTCATTTATTGTTAATGTTATACTCATTTGTATTCTCATTTAATTTCCAACATACAGATTTTTTTCTATTTTTATTTCATTGAAATCGTTTGTTTTTGTATTACTTAAATATTTTAAACTAATATAAGGTCATTTCATTCATATTTGTTATTATTTATTGTGCTTAATTATATATCTTAAATTATGTTTATTATGTTTTATTATATTTTTCATGGATATCATCAATACTAGAATATTTAATAATTTGACAAAAAGAAAATTGATTGGAAATTTTTAAAAACACACATATCAATGAATTATAAATTATTACTTTTTTTTATTCATGTTATTTCCTAAGCTATTTAATTTGGTATGTTTGTCTTATCCATTTATAGGATGTTCGTACGTATTTTGTTTGCATTTGTTTGGTTTTCTTTTGATAAAACGAAAAAAAAAATGAATATGTATGGATATTTATTTCATTGTAATATTTACATCTTTTTGAATGAAATTTGATTTTTTTGGTTCGGAGCCAATGTTTAGTTTTTAAAAGTAATTAAATGTTTATGCAACATAAAAAATTAAACATAACTGATAATCTTAAATTTTGCAACATTTTTGGAAAAATATCGGTAAAAGATTTATAAAAATGGGAATATGTAAGCATATACAATATTTTAATCAAATCGAGCAAACGTATAAAAGAATTTTTCTCAGAAGGAAACGAGAAAAACAGTTAAAGGGTCTGGATTTGCTTAGAGGCCACATGCAATGAAAAAAATATGCGTTACATCCAAACGAAAAATTTTATGTAAAAATGAAATAAAAGATAACAATATTGTTTCTGTCGATAGATCTCTGCAACTACTTTATTTTCGTCGTTAGTTTGCCGGTTACGATTACGATAAAAATATTAAACCTTGCCGCAGACAATTTTTTAACATAGAACTACCTATTGGACTATAATATGGCATTCTCAGTTCTCCTGCCATATGACTTAATTCACATTTTGACTTAGAGTTTGAGAACGAAAGTGAAAGAGAACGCAAAAAATACCATTCCCAATATGATTTTTAAATTTTTGATTAAATTACAAAAAAAAAACTCTTTTGGAATAGTGTTTTTTCCGCATTCGCATGCTGACTTTTGAAATGACATCTTGAAAGTTCTAAATATTATGGAGAATATTTAATTTGTATATATTCATAAGTTTTAATGTTCAATGCAACAATTTCATCCATTATAATTGGTCCCAACTCTACCTATTTCCTAAACAAAACTTTGATTTCTACAAAAAATGATGATGTTTACCCCTTAAATGGATATAATTCGCTTTCGAAAATGCACGATTGACCAAAATGTCTTTAAATCACGCCAAAATTTGCTAAATTTATTAAATTACTGCAAAAGTCTAAAATTTGTGAAAATTCCATAATTTTTCCAATAATAGGAATATTTAATAGGACACAGAAAAACTGCAATATTTCCTTTCATTGCTAGTGCAAATTTCACCACAATAGCTACTTTCGTTGCCGAGATATATTCATTTGAATTTTACTTTGTCCCAAAACATAGCTGCTACACAATTCTGTTCGCCTATTACATCAAAATTGATAATGAAGAAATCTCAAAGTCGTTGATGGCACATGTATGCGGTAACGTTGCCAGATTGATTACCAACATTATGTTATAGTTTAAAGTTATTGAAGCATAACTTGCGGCGCTTTTATAAAGAGGGACCAACACGGCTTTTTGTTAGGAATCAAAATTTTATTTTAACTCCTCAAGGTATGTTTTATGTTTTCATTTTCTGTCTTTGGGTGGCATCATTCGTAAATGAGTTAGTTTTTCGCTCATATATACGGACAATGCATCAGAAAAAATGCCGAATATTATCGCGAAAATATTCTGGAGGGTGTATTAAAGCCTTGGGCACACAAACATTTTGGCCGCAGACCTTGGAATTCCAACATCGCACCATCGCACTCAGTACGCGCCACCCAACAATGGTTACAAAATGAGGTTTCTCGCTTCATTCATTCCCAGCGCACAATGGCCACCAAAATATCCGGATACCAATCCGTTGGACTATTGTGTCTGGAGTATTTTGATAAACAAGATTGGCACTGAAAATACCAAAGTGTAGATCATGGGCCAAAGAGAGCAACAACCGGGCAGCGTGTGACGGTTTCATTGGCCATGAAGGCCATAATTCGTGCCAAAGGTGACCCATTCGAACAAATCTAAACTTATTCTATTCCGTCATTTTTTCCTTTCATTCAATATAATTAAAAAAAATGTAAAAATTATGGCGTTTGTTCGGAATTTCAAAGTGGCATATTCTATATATTCATGCCATGGAAAAAAACGCTCGTCATGGTACTCCATATTTGATTAAACGCATAAAAGTACGTGACATCCAACCAAAAGCTGGATGTCTCATCACTATGGCCAGACTCAATCACATCATCATACCATGAAATTACCAAGAAATGGGTCAAAAAATTACAACACACATGAAGACAACGCTACCAGTTTTTTACGATTGGGCTATTTATTATTGGTAAAAAAAATCACTGACACATTTTCTTCATAAAGGAATCAGTTTGTTTTTTTTTATTGATTATTGAAAAATATATTTTGCCGAACGTACAGAGGTATAAATAGAATATAGAATACTGCTTTAATCCAAGGAAAGAGGATTCACAAAAATTCAATTTAAAGTTTGAATTTTATATTTTCAATTTCAATTTTACCTACTGTTTCAGGATCGGGAATTTAAAAAGATGCCCAGCATATTTCTGTAATGAAGAATTCAAACCTTTTTTCTATTTAATGAAAATGTTAAGGAAAAGTTAAATTCGTTTTGATGGAACAAGTTTGCCCTGAAAGTAGGAGAACGGAACCTAGTAAAAATGCTAAAAATAAGAAGCTTAACAAAAATTGATGTAAAGGTTGTGAGATCAGAGAACACCTTTCGATCGTATCAAGACATTATTAAATGAAGAAATGTGATTTTTAACTCGCATGTAATAGAAAAAACTAAACAATTAATAACAATTTCTAAATTAATAATATAATTAATATTCATGAATGTTATATTACAATTTTTATTTACAACACAGTAGCCACAGAGGAGAATAATTTCCCTGGCCTTTTTTTTTTTTCAAAAGTCTATTGTAAATGAAACAAATCTTAAAATTCATATTTGTATTATATAATATTGTTATTATTTTCGTATGGGATTTTTATATGTAACATTTATATTAAGTTTAAAGTGTGCATACATACATATATCATTCTTGGCCATGGAGATTTCCATTTTTTTGGGGGAAAACATTTAACGATTCTTTTCTTTGTATTTTGTGTTAATGTTTACAACCAATTCGTTGGTAAGAAATTAAATTTTCTTTGATCGAGTTCATTTTTAATATCTATCAATTTTCGCATGATTTTTATACGTTTCAATGTTATTGCTTTCGTTAAAGATCTTTAGAGAACACCTTAAAGTCTTTTTTCTGTTTTAGTTTTGTTTTTTTTTTATGTGGTGGTGGCTTTGTCTAATTTTCCTTCATATTTTCAGAGGTTTGATGGAAGATATAAATATTGCTTGATGGCGATGACATTTAAATAAATTGAAATGTAAAATAATGCAAATATATATTAGATCTTTATTACTTATTTATTTACTGGATTTTATTTAATTACCACAAAGCTTGTAAAGAATTAAAATAAATAAATGCAAAAAAGACACCAAAAACTCTTTTCTTATGTCCCTCTATATGAAGGGTGAGATGAAAAAACTGCAAACTTCAGACTGCTGTCATTTCTAAGCCACTCGTCCGACAGCTGTTAAAGTAATTCCAGTGACAGCTCATTATATTGTTTACAAGCGTACAAAAGCAATTTGGTGAGAATTTTGTAGAAAAAAAGTTATTTGTGATGGAATTCTAGCGTGATAGTGTGACTTCTTTATATTTGTCTGACTATCGTTAGAGCACTACAGCATTTAAATGTGAAAAAATATTTTGTGTCTCGTGAGCTGAACATATCACAATATTCCATTCGGCAAATATTAAAAAATGAGCTCGGGATAAAGCCATTGAATTTCCAAAAAGTACAAGAATTTACACCGCAACGGACAGAAAATAGACTCAAAAGAGCTAAAGAGTTGCTTCGAGTTGCGAAAGTGGTGAACTGCCGAATTTGGTTTTCGTTGTCCAGCAGTTTGTAAACAAGCAAAAAGATCGTGTTTACTTGCCAAAGAGGTCAGCTGAAAATGTACACCTTCGGTTGGCCACCAGAACTCAAGCGCCGGCCATGGTGATGGTGTGGGCCGCCATAACAACCGATGGTCGCTCTCCGGTCGTATTAATCGACCGTGGTATCAGAATAATGGTGTATTAAAGCCTTTGGCACGCAAACATTTTCGCCGCTGACCGTGGGCATTCCAACACGACTCAGCATGCGCCACCCTAGAATGGGTACAAAATGAGGTTCCTCGCTTCTCCAGATACCAATCCGTTGGACTATTGTGTCTGGAGTATTTTGGAAAGCAAGGTTGGCACTTAAAAATACCAAACTGTCGATCACCTCAAGCAAAGGCTTCGCCAGGAATGGGCCAAAATACCGTAGGCCATTTGAAGACCATAATTCGTGCCAAAGGTGATCAATTAGAACAAATCTAAACTTATTCTAAAATGTGATGCTATTTCCGACATTTTTTCTTTCATTCAATAAATTTAAAAACATGTAAAAATTATGGCGTTTGACTTTGTTGCAGTTTTTTTTTTATCTCACCCGGTATGTTTGTTATCTGAAACTACCAATAAAAAATAATTCATATTTTTAAAGAATACTCAAATAGCAAAGTACGGTATGTCAACTTGAAAAAGGGACATTTTCCTTTTTGGGTATTTTCCTTCTTGACTGACTTGGCGGTGGACCACACAAAAGTCTGTAGCAATTTGAAAATACATTTCCATGGCATTACTTTAAAAGTTTCCAAATGTTTTTTTGGATCATTCTAATATTTTAAATCCTTACCTAAAAAATAATACAGAAAATTACCCTACACACTTGGCAGTAAAAACATGAACAAAAAAAGTAAAACAAAAGTAATTTTAAATTTCAATTTAAATATAAAACAATTTATTTATAAAAGTTTTCGAAAAAACACAGTCCAAATTAAAAATAATAAATATATACAAAAATAATTTTATTAATGTACGGCCATAATTGAAGAAAATACACAAAATTTCTTTCTAATAATTAATCGAGAAATATGGGAAGGAATATATTGGCGGGGATAAGAGAAATTTCTTCTAAAAATAAAACAAAGCAAAAATTAAAATAATAATTTGTTTTATAAAACAAAGAACACCAATTGGAGTGGAAGTTTGTTTTTATAGCTTTTGTTGCCTAAAAAGAATTGCTTTATTTAAATTTTGTTTTCACAATTATTATATGTTCTAAACAAAACCAGTTGGTTCGCTGTTGTTTTCTTTTCTTCTGTTACAATTTACTATAATTTATACTATTAATAGTTAAAGGTATTTTGTTACTCATTTTCTTTAATTAAATTAAACACAATTCACAAACCTAATTAATGTTGTGACAATCGAAAGTTTAAGCTGTTTGAAATCATATACTCTTCTTTAATTTCGATTTAAAGTCGTGGTTTTATTTTAGTTTTTTTTTTTTTTTTTTTTAACAAATTTGTCTTTTATTGATTTAATTGTTTCTTTCTTTTGTTTCTTGTTGTTGTACAATACTGTTGTATTTTCTATGGTGTCGTTGATTTGCTTATTTGTTTTGTTTTTTTATATTATACTTATTTTGTTTTAATAAATTAAACAAACGTTTTTTTTTTAAATAAAAATTTAAACTAAACTAAATTGTATCAATTAATTTAGATTTCTAAAGAATGTTGATCTTAAACATTAAAAAAAAAAACACAATTATGCTAAATTATATACAACACAAGATTTTGTTAATTTCGTTTACTTAATATTTGTCTTAAATATAGTTGTGGTTTTGTTGTTGTTATTAAGATGAAAACTAAAAATTAAGGTAGTTTACTTTGTTTTTGTTATATTTTAATTGATCTAACAAATCAAACATATATAAATAATATATGTACGGTTTGTAAATATAGAAATTAAATGCGTGCCATAGGTAGGGTAGCAATGATGTGAAATATTCAGTATGTGTCGCCTTCGGTTTTGGAGTCAATAACATTCTCATTGACAAAATTGGGAAAATGTCATGTTTACATATATAACTTGATTGATACTCAGCCGAAATGGAAATGGCAAGTTTCTGCACATGCAAGATACAAATAAGCCCGTATTTCAAGATTTAAGCAATTAAAGCATGCTCAATAAATTTCTATGCTTTTGACATAATTTTGCAGTTAATTTCGGAAAATGTCAAGCTTACATTATTTTGAATTTAAAAGTCATATTTGTTCTTAGAAATGGCTTCATATTTCAAAATGCCCAGAAAGTATTCTAAAGACGTAATTGTTTTCATCGTTAAATCCGTATGAAAGATACTGTGAATTTAAGAGAGTTTTTCTTTCCGAAATAAAATTTGGTTTGGTTTTTTAAAGTATAGTCAGGATATACAATTAATTTGAGCCAACACGTTTCATTAAATTCAGAAGAAATAAAGAACTACAGTAAAGAAAGACACAGACTTTAAAGATAATAAAAAAATATTACAATTTTAACAATTTCTTTCAATATTTCTTAATTGTTCGTTTGAATTTTAATTGAATTCAAATATTTAAAAATCTTTAGAGAATGGATTTTTTGATTTGAAGTTTACAAGATTCCATTAAAAAACTCGAGGAATATCCTTGAAATAAAAATGAAATGTTGTAAATTTCAAACGTCTTTTTCCCACTTTAATATTGAGAAATATGTTTCAATTTTATAATACTTTGTATCCTTAGAACTGACCCAAATCTCAATATAAACACTACTTTCAGAGACTTGGGACATGCAAAGAATATGAAATATCTTAGAGTTTATGAGAATAATTTAAAAGAACCTATATTTAACCACAAACATTTGGAAAAGAAAAACATATTTTTTCGGTAAAAACCCATTTTAAATCATTTAGTCACTGTCAAAATAGAAAAATAAAGAGTCTTCGGATGCACGTAATAAAACAAGAACAATCTAAATTTGCACGAATTTCCTTTTAGGGCGATAATTTTGATAAAAGCAAACAACGCTAACTGCTTAAATCTTAAAAAAGTACGAATCAATTAAATGAATTTAAATTTACAAATAAGTACATGACATTTTATTAACATAGTGGACTCAAACATTCATACAGGGCGATGATTCGATAGGTCGGTATAAGAGGAAACACAATTCAATATTTTCATGTGTCCTTATGTATTTTCTTGAAAACGTCACATATGCATAAAATACCTGAATGTATTTACCTTATATAATTCGCATGCACGTGCTCCCACAAAATTAAGGGTGAAAATAAATTCAGAGCGAGCGAAACTAAACTGCTAATGGCGGTATAAAATGTAAAAGATCTCATAATGCTGATGTATTAAATTCTAAAATTAAACTATTGTTACCATGGCCATTTGTTGTTGGATGTAAACTATTGTTGTTGGCTAAAGAATGAGCAATGATGCTGCTAACGCCGCTGCCACCACCGCTAACGTGATGTGGCTGAAGTTGCTGAACATTATTTTGGTGAATACTAATGTGATTGGATTGAATTTGTTGATTCTGAATAGGTGTACTACTATTACTAGATAAAGCTCTTACTGAAGCTGCCGAAGTTTGTTGCTGTCACGAACTTACATTGCTATTACCGCTGACCACACAATTGAAATCATTTAATTGTGCCTGTTGCTGTTGACTTGGATTATTGCCAGCTGTGGCTGAAACCAAGGGTTGATGATGTGAATGTTGTTGGTGATTTCCAGCTCCACCCAAAACGTGTTGTTGCTGTTGTTGCATTAACTGCGGGTGATGCGTATGTGGATTATGATCCATTAGTAAGTGACTTTCGGTGAGATTGGATGCATCGGTAGAAGAATTGCCGCCACCAGCACCACTTCCCATAATACAATCACCCAATTCATCAACCAATTGTTGGCGCTTGGTGGAATCATGACCTGTATTATTGGCACTTTGTTGATCTTGCATCATGGAATTACCCAAGAGCACACCCATAGTATGATCAAGTGAGAACGACAAGGAATCTGCTTCGGAGTTTTGCAAATTTAATATGCTATCTATGGCATTTTGAACATGTCTGGTGATATCATCATCAAATTCTCCGCCTCCTCCTGTTGTTGGGGGTGGAGAATTTTGATGCTGGTGATGGCTATGATCATGATGTCCAGTGTTGTTGTGATGATTCAACATCATTTGCTGCTGCTGTTGCGTTTGATTGACATTCATAAAGTGATTCTGCTGTAAATTTTGTTGCTGCTGAGCATCCATTTGATTAAAGCTATCAAAGCCTGTAGGATTCATGATCATATGGTGGTTATAACCATTGGTTTGGGAACTGGGAGTTGCATTATCAACCCCCAAACCATCATGCAGAGATAATAAGGCAGCATCCATTAAATCTTGGGCATGCGCCGTATCATTTGGCACCAAATTATGATGATGTTGCTGTTGCTGCTGTTGGGATGACTGCTGTTGCTGCTGATGTATGTTTAATGGAGAATGGGCTGAGGTAGATGAATCGGTGATACTACCGCAAATCTTCTTTTGGGGACTATTTTCACCATGCTGTTGTTGTTGGAGAGGTGTATGTGTATCATCAACCATATGACCATTCCATTGTCGCTTTCTATTACCCAAACAATCACCCATAGTAGAACTGTTTGTGTTGGGAAAAACGGGAAATTGTGCTTCCATATTTTGCATCCACCGAGGATTATTGGCTGAGCCCAATTGTATGTGATGCGTCATGCTATTGGTAGCATTACTTGCAAAACTAGAACCAACATTTTGTCCCGTAGATAAAAACGAATTATCCGTAAAATCGGAATCCCAATTTGTTTTGTCAGTTCCTTTTGTTACGGTATTACAATTTGCACTGCTGGCCGCTGGAGATTTAGCAGCTTCACCAAATAACATAGACATATAAGGTGAATCAATGCGATCCTTTGGACCACTTGAAGCTCCTAAATGCACGGGAGAATTGCCAAACAGTTTGGTCGTAGATGATTTCCCAGATTCACCATAACCCATAATTTCCAAATTGTATGGAGAGTCGACATGATCTTTGGATCCAGACAAGTGAACGGGCGATTCCCCAAACATAGATTCCAAACGAGTTTCAACGGCTTTGTGAACTTCACTATCTTCGGAACCACTAAAGAATTCATTCAAATCAGCTTGATGGCTTTCTTCCGCATGGTTGAGGGAGAGCTCGGGAGCTTGTTGTGGTTGTTGGCTGCAACTACTAGCAGTAGGTGCGCTGGTGGTATTATTTGCACTGGCTAGTACAGATGGAACATTACAGTTTGTTGTGGTATCGTTGGAGACTTGTGTCTGCCGTTGTTGTTGTTGTTGGAAGATACCTTCTGAAGATTCATGGCCAAGAAAACCTAGTGTTTTGTTATGATTGTTGTCGTTATTACGTTTTGGTTCGTTATTAACGTTATCATTAGTGCTGGAGGTGGTATTAATTAAATTCAATTCCTTTTGTATACACAACCAATCATCATCTTGTTGTTGCTTATTCGCTGTATGATTGGTCTGCAAATGTTGAGAGAAATCAAAATTGTTGGACAGAATACTCTGTGCGTTGAGGTTAGATGACGTATCCTGAATTGACTGCTGCTGCTGTTGTTGTTGCTGCTGCTGCTGATGATGTGCAGTTGCTTGGGAGGATGTTTGTAATGAATTGGTCGGCTGCGTATTATCGACAGCATGATTAATTTTATTGACTTTGGTTTTAGCCTTACTAGATACTGAAGTGTTTACTGATGGTATGGTGACAGTATTGGCGGAAGATGTAATAGTGGTGGTAGCAGTGCTAGTGGAACCCGTTAAAGCTGAGGTAGTCACATTAACGTTTGATTGCGGCTCCTCCTTATGTTCCACTTTTTTCATTATAAATGAGGGCGTTATCTCAGATTCAATATCGAAATTTTCGAAGCTATCATTTGTCTCCTCATTGTTCAGGACAGAACACGGTGTTGTTGCAGACATTACTTTCTTCATGTCACCATTGAACAGATTACTAGGCATTTTTTGCTGAGCATGTTGCTGATGTTGTTGATTGTAAAATGAATTAGAATTCTTGGAATCCACATATGTAGGTGAAACATCACTCCATTGGTTGGAACATTCCTCCTTCTTTGGCTCTTTAATTTCATTACTTTTTGATTTTGAACTACCCATGTTGTTATTTATAGGACTTTGTTTCAGCAAATCAAATGAGTCGATAGAGCTATTACAACTTTTACCACCAGCCATTGAAGAATTTCCCATAGATTCTGTTTTTATTTCATTCTTGATGGAATCCAATGATGATGTATTTTGCATATTTGTACAGAAGTTCGAATTGCTATCGTTATTCATCGGGATATCCATTAGATTTGGTTTCGAATCTTGAGTTTCGGTTTTAATTTCATTTTTAAGTTTATCAAACAGTGAGCCCCCCTTAATATCAAATTGTTGGGGCCCTTGCTGCTGTTGTTGTTGGCATTCATGTTCATATTTGAGCAAATCCTGTTCCAATTTCTTGGAATCGGCAATTTCTTGGCGTAAATCTTCGATTAAGAGCTTTTCCATTTGGCATATTTCTGAGGTACGATGTTGTAACTGTAAGAGAAAGTTAAATAAAATTATTTATCAATTGAAGTGGAGCTGATAAATGTTTAGATGCGGGTATTTAAAACCAATTGTCAATTACTCTTCTCACCATTGACTCTTGCAATATAATTTGCTGGAATTTGCCAGAAAGTTTTCGAAATTTGTCTTGAAAACGTATTGCTGTCTTCTCAAATTCCTCCTCTTCTTCACTTGGTATGTCTTCATCGTTCTGATACATGCAATGATACCTACATGAGCGAAAATGCATTACTAAATTGAACGGATTATTTATCGAGGTTATGGTATATTACCTTATCAAACGTTTTACCGCTTCCTCTTTATTTTGGAATGGATTTTTGTAATCAGGTTTCGAACAATTTTGTTGATCAACTTCTAGCTGTTGTAAGAATCTGTGGTAAAAATAATATTATAAAATTTATTGATTGATTTTAATACTAAGCCATAATTGTAATAAATCTTATATTCAAAGCTCAAATTCATTTAGCTTGTTTAGTACTAAATCCAGCAAAAAAAAAGTTAAAATCTTATATTTACTTCCAAATATATATTAGGGAATATACTAGATATAATATCGCCTTTAAAATAATCAAATCGACCTGCTTTTATCATAGGAAATGAGAAAAGTACCCTAGACAATCAGCTGGATAACTTTTGTAAATTAATAAACGGTATAGATTGAGATTACCAGCTTCAATTCTAATAGAGCGAATTGCAGATAAATAAGGCTGATTAACAGACTGTGAATTACACCAAATGAAACATGACATGTCCAAAAGTTAAATTCTATTTTCCTAGATTGTAAGTGAATATACTAAAAAATTTCCGCTTCCAATGAACTGACTCTCTTATAAATCAAATAAAGGATTAATATCAACCAACTACTCACAAGGAGAGACGAGCAAGTTTTGCTTTTGATGGGACCTTATCCTCGGTCTTAATAAATGTTGCAATTTGACTAATGGGATTACCAACAATGTTTAGACCACCGTTTATGATTGAATTTGTTGGAGCAACCATCATGTTATTGTTGTTCGCCAAAGTTGAGACAACGGATGTCGCTGTAATTGTTGTAGAACCGGAGGCAGGTTGTATGGTAGCAACAGGATGCAAGCAGGACATGGATGATGATGGTGATGTTGCTACTGCTGTGGTAGTAGAGGCTGCAACTAGAGGCGGCACGCTTGTCGCAGCACCACTTGTCATAACCAATTGAGGCAAAGACAATGTTGCTGATGTCGACGTCATCGAAGACATGGACATAGACATTGTTATGGCCATGGATGTTGGCATATTACTGGCAGTCACCGTTGTATTCGCAGTATTACAGCTGTTAGTAGCACTGGATGTAATCGCAGATTGCTGTTGTTGTTGATGATTATTAATAACAAAGGTAGGAGCCGTAGCACCAACATTTGTGGTTGAAGTAGTAGCTGAAACAATGGGCGCTGATAAAGTCGCTGTTGGCACCAATGAGGGAGTTCCCATTGATGTCGCTAGAATAAATGATTTTTGATTTGTTATCCCCGCCGTTCCTATGCCACTTAAGCTGTTTATGGTAAATGCATTCGTGGCCAAGGAAGGTGATGTTGAGAATTGATGTTGCTGCGACAACGGGGTTAATTGTGGTGTAATTGTTGTGGTCATTGTTGAGCTAACTGTGGAACTACAGGGAAAAATAAGAGGTGGTGGGCCTCCACCCGCCACATGTGTTGACAAGCTTCCCGATGTGTTGGTATTTTGAAAGCTGGCAAAGGCTGGTGATGTTGTATTCGCCTTGGCAATTTGTATTTTTTGCTGTTGCAGCAATTGTTGTTGTTGCATTTGTAAGTGTTGTGTAAAATGTTTTTGCTGCAATACAGCCGGCATATTTGTGATATTAATCATATGGGGCTGGGGCAGCGATGCAAAGGGCAGGGTGGGCAAGCTGGAATTGGACGATAACGATGATAACTGTGGCAATTGAGGACTACTTAATATAGAGCTGGTTAGATTGCCAGATGGTTGTAGGATTGCAGCACCTCCTGGAATGGAACTTAAGCTCGAATTCCCGCTACTGTTCGTTGCAATCGAGGTAGTTGTATTGGAGGTTGTTGCTGTCGATAGAGTGGATCCAGTAGAAGAGTGTTGTTGTTGCTTTGATTTATTATTGTGGCTTAATAAAGGTCCTGGAGCGACTGTGGTGGAGGTACTTGTTACTGTTGTACTGCTGTTTGATTTTGAATTACTGTTTAGAACAACTGATGACTGTTGCTGTTGTTTTGGCGCTTTTGCGTTTTTGCTGCTCCCATGAGTTGGTTGCTGTGGTTGTTGTTGATGCTGCTGATGTTGTATTGGATATATGTGTATCTTCTGCGTTTGTTGCTGTTGTTGCATATTTCCCGCTTGTGATATTAAAGTCGGTGTGGTAGTTATTGATCCTCCCACACCACTTGTATTAGTCGAATGGTTGTTTGGTTGCACTACATTGGCAGGTATGCTTCCTCCACTTAAAGCAGCCTTATTATCGTTATTTGTTGATTGTGGCGGGTTTGTGTTTGACATTAAATTAAATGTTCCCAGATTGGAGTTCGGTGGTACAGAATTTGTTATAAATTGATCTGAAGTGGAGATCTCTTTGCCTGAGGACAGTATTCGATGCTGTTCCATAAATAGCCTCTGTAATGACTGATTGATTTCTATATCAGTCATTGGCTTATTGAACGCTGCCACAACACTTGGATCCAAATCGGCCGGCAACGGCATAGAGGAGATTAAATTTTTGTGTTGCATTTTAACGGTCAAATATTGGATTTGCATTTGAACTTGACGCAGCATTTGTTCTTGTTGTTGGGTTAGTTGTATTGTTTGGACCCGTGAAACCGTATGTTGAGGTTGCTGCTGCTGTTGTTGCTGTTGCAAATTTTGGCCCGTCGATACTATTGGTTGTATTGTCGGAAGGGACATCTGCATGCCACTGGACGTTAAGCTGGGGGTGTTAATGGTATTACCGGCCGAATGAGTTGCGGTGGCATATGTATTGACTCCAGATGTTAATTGACTAGAAGAAGACGTTGCTATGGATGCCAATGAAAAATTTATGGAGAAGTTATTATTTTGCTGAGACAGGGATGGAGCTCCTCCTGTTGTTATTGTTCTTGTTGGTTGTAACTGCTGCTGTGGCTGAGGTTGTTGTTGCATTGGAGCTGTAATCCCCACCAGTTTTGTACCCGTTGAGATTTGCGTCTGAAAGGGCTGTATGCTAACCACATTTGATGTGGACGTTGTGGTACTGGTCGTAGAAGTAGACACAACTGGCTTGCCACTGGCCGTATTTGGCTGCACTATTTGTACGGGGTTATTGTGCGGTTTCTGTGATAAGGGATCTAACTTTGGCAACGGTTTCACCACTGAGGCATTTTTCATTAGGGCAACATCGGCTGCTGTTGTCGTAGAAGCCTTGGGCTTTCTTACTGGTTTCTTTTTAGGTACAGCACCGGTAGAAGTCGTAGTTGTGGTAGTGGTGGTTGTCGATGAATTTCCCTGCGCTAATTTATTATCTTGCTTAGCTGCTTTCGATTGATCTATGATAGGAGCAACATTTGCCACTTGCTTTGTAGTGGTAGTGGTGGTGGTTATTGTGGTGGTGGTACTAGTGGATGAAGAGGACTGGGCTGTGGAACAGGTGGTCGATATTGACGTCATAGGATAAACTATCTGTTGCTTTGGTGCCTGTTGTGGTAGAGAGGTTGCATTAGAATTGCTTAGAATTGATCCCGCATTATTCATGGGATGCACTGGTAAGGTGATGGAAGAATTTGGTAAACTAGGTGGGGCAGGATTCGTTTGGGGTATTTGTGATGATGCTGGTAGTGGATTGGCGTCGTTGAAATGTATTTGTCCCTGTTGCAGACATTGGGCCAGTTGTTGCGCATTAATGCCAGACGGAGCAATAAGTATACGTTCGGTAGGTCCAATGGAGGCTGTAGTTTGATTTGCTTCAATCGGTGTAATCTGATTAGTTAAACTGTTTAAGCAGAATAACTGATGTGTGGCAGGATCAACTTTGGGCAATGATAAATAGATGTTTTCTTGCTGAGGAACGGGGGCAGGATTACTATTAACGTTTGTTTGTACATTCATATTTAATTGAGGTTGTACTGTAGTCGTTGAATTTGTAGGTGGCTCTTGAGCTTTAGAAATACCACCGCCTGTTGCTTTGGATGCCTCGGAAGCAACATTTTGCTGCTGTTGTTGTTTCTTTTTCGAACCCTTAACATTTCCGCTGGGTGGGCCGGTAGATACTACCGTAGGAGCAGGTTGCTGCTGTTGTATGACGTTTGTTGCTATTTGACGATGTTGCTGCTGAGGCTGCTCCATCTGTTTGAGGGGCTCATTGATAATGGTGACGTTTGGTAATGCCCCCTTAAGCAAGGCCTGCAATATTAGCTGTGATTGTTGATCTTGGGGTTTATTGGGATCATGTCGTAATATCAAACGTTCACATTGTTCGGAAACTGCCAATGTCAGACTTCCTGTTAATTGAGGTATTAAAGAAGCAATAGTGTTTGGTGTACCCACAGATATCGAAACATTTCCTGTAAGACCTGGTAGGGCAGGATTTGATGGCGGAGCGGTTTGCTGTTGATTTTGTTGCTGTGGCATTGGTGTCTGCGAGGTGACCAAGACATTTGTTGGTGTCGTTGTCGAATTCTGAGGATTCAATGTTGCATTAAATGAGGGCTGACCTACTGCTAATGTAGGTTGTGCCTGCATGTTCAGATTAACCGATGAAGAATTCGAAGCCACCGAAGAATTCGATAATTGAGGCAATGAAACCAACTGCATTTGTCTTGGCTGTTGCTGTTGCTCATTTAGATTCGTTGTGAGAGTATTGGGGAGGTTTGTGTTGCCCAAACTCGGATGGTTTTGGGTTAAGCTCGGAGGTTGGAAAACAATTTGCGTTTGTTGTGGTTGATGGTTGGTAGCCGACTTATCTAAAATAGGCATAATTTGTATTTTATTTTCAACCAAAGAACCAATAGGAGTTGTAGAAACCATGGTGGCAGCACCTTGTTGTCCTGCTAGACGATTATCAATTTGTGAAATTTGTATATTTCCAATTTGGCTGGGTACCAACGATGGCGTAGGCAGGGGTGTGGATATTGAACTTGTTGTAATATTAAGCGAAGGTAGATTAGAGTTCTGACTGCTAGGCAATGTTACCATTGAGGAATTGCTAGTTGGCAAAGTATTAAAGGAATTCGTTATGGACGATGAGGCCGTTACAGTGGAATTATTTACCGCAACAGTTGCTGCCGTGCTAGCGGCATTATCTGACTTTTTAGTATTTCGCTTTGCCGCTGGTTTGCGGCGAGGTTTTACAGTAGCTGTCGTGGTAGTTGAATTCGTTGTTGATGTAGCCGATGTAGAAACTGCTGCCACGGAAGTTGTTATCGTAGGGGGAGCCGCGGAAGAACTCATTGCTAAACTACTGGATCCTGCCGTTGTTAATGGGATTGTAAAAGTAATGTTTGCTGTTGGTCCCCCTGATGCTGCGGACATGGAAGTTTTAATTTGCTGTGCCTCATTTTGAACCTGTTGCAAATGCTGTTGAGCCTGTTTCTGTATCTCCTCCTGGGACGGCAATCGGGGTATAGTAATGGAATATGGGTGTCCTTGTGGCCCAGCTGTTGTGGCTGCGGATGAACCCAATAAATCTGCAGAAGGATCAATTTTGATAACAATATTTGCTGCAGCTGTTTCTGCCCCCGAATGATCCATCTGATCTTGGCATGATGTTACCCCAGGTATAGATAAAGTATATGATGGAGCGGCATTTCCACCACTACCATTTGGTTGTGGTATTGATATTGTATAATCTGTTGACGGATTCGTCATCTGATTTGTTGATGGCATCGGTTCTTCCATGGGTGTGGTATCCATAAAGTCCTCATCATCATCCTCTGTGATGCCACAGAGTTTCATAACATTGCCCAAATCTAGTTTGCCATTACTAGCTCTTTGTATTTGCGGTGGCGGAGAAGGCGATTTTGGCCTTTGTTGTTGCTGCTGTTGTTGTGGTTGTTTATTTTCGATTATGTTTTGTTGAAATTGTTGCTGTTGAACTGTTGTTTGAACGGTGGTTAAGTTACCCGAATGTTGTTGGCTTAGCATAGGAACAATTTTTGTAGTTGTGTTGCTGGTGCTGATGGCAGGCACCAGCACCGATGTAGTCGAGGTGGCGGTATTCAATGTTTTATTAGCGGTGGTAGTTAAAGGTTTTGCATTGGCGGGTGCTGCGGAACTGGCCGCAACGACTGAGTTGGCATTTGCCGCGGCCGATGTTGCCGGGGCCTTTCTTCTTCTTGGTTTAGCTTTCTTTTTTGTTTCAGGTTGCTGTTGTTGCTGCTGTTGTTGCTGTTGTTGCACTTGGTGTTGTTGCTGTAGAGCCTGAGCTTGCTGTTGCGCCTGCTGAACTTGATTTTGCGTTTGTTGTATTTGCTGCTGTAGTTGTTGAATTTGTTGCTGTTGCTGCTGCTGTTGTTGCTGTTGCATTTGAATTGTGGCAGCCGCATTGAACTGCAAATGAATTTGGCCATTGCCACCCACAGATTGTTGATGGTGCTGCTGCTGTTGTTGTTGTTGGTGACTTGCTGTTGACTGCATATTCTGTAACACTGGTGTCGGCTGCCGATTTAAGGGTTCCGGGGTCACTGAAACTGGTACATGGGCCGGTGAAGATTGCGTTAAGCTAGTGGTGTAGAGATCATTTGTGTTTGTTTGATTTGAATTACTATTTCCTGCCGAGTTTTGAGTAGTTAGTTGTCCCCCTGCATTATTTGTGGAAGGCGGGGCCGCTGGTGTTTGAAAGGTAGTTGCTCCAGCATTACTTAGTTGGTTCAAATGTATATTGGCATTGCTTAGTTGGTTCAGATTTATAAGTCCCTGGGCCGAATTTTGTTGAAACTGAGCGGTTCCAGTACTTGCCGGCAACTGAGAGAGAAGTGTGGGTGCCCCACTGGCACTTAGACCATTTGGCATTTGAATTTGAGCAGTGAAACTGTTACCGTTGGCCGCTGCGGCAGCAGCCAACTGTAGATTCTGAAGTTGAGCTGCCATGGATGGACCCAACAAATGACCATTGATGGTGGCCGCGGTCGTGGTAAATTGCTGAGATCTGGGTTGTTGGTTAGCAGCTGCTGCTGCTGAGAGTGCTGCATGCAAACCGCTCAGCTGTGTGATAGCTGAGTTTTGGGGCTGTGTCTTGATGGCCTGTAAGTGATTGGCCTGTTGTATGAGATTTGCCTGAGAAGAAACAATAAAAGTAGGTGTGGCCGCAGCCAGCTGCATTGTAGCACCATTGTGACCCAATATTCTTAACACCTGTTGGGGCTGTTGTTGCTGCAACTGGGGTTGAGGCCGGGCATTTTGTATGACCAAAGAAGGCGTGGCGGTCAATTGGGGGGTTGGTGGCCTCAGTATCAACTGTACGCCTTGGGGTGCATTTTGTTGTACCAACATAGGTACCTGGTTCAAAAGCAATTGCGGTTGCTGGCCGGCGGTGGTTGTAAGACTAGCTGTGGCACCGGAGGGTAAAATGATTTGTTGTTGGCCCGGCTGAGCTGATTGTGAGATCTGTGTTAATGATGTTTGTTGCTGTTGTTGAGACAAATTGCTTGACGATGTAGGATTAGAGGTAACTGTTTGTGATGGGGGCGGTGTCGGATTAGGGCCCGCCGAATTTCCCTGCTTGTGTTTTTGTGTGTCAATAAGTATTTGTTGTTGCTGTTGTTGTTGCAGGGGCTTTGGCAGTATTTGTTGGGGCAATTTATTACCTTTGCCATTGCCTAACACTGTTGCCGATGTTAATCCTCCCGTTGTTGTCGTTGTTAGGTTCCCCGTGGGCGTTGTAGTAAATCTGGCTTGTTGCTGGTGTTGAGGCGTAGATGTGGCAGCCGCAATAATTTGTCCCTGAGGACCCTGAATAAGTTGAAAGGTCTGCTGGGGACCAGTACCGGGACCGCCATTGCCATTGCTGGCTATTGTGAATTGTTGTTGTAACATTTGCATTGTCGGTGGCTGTGGTGTGGGTGGTTTGATAGAGGCAGCGGTTATTGTTGTGCCGCTGGGACTCGGTGAGGGGCTGTCGGCAATTAAAGGACTACCGCTGTGATATTGTTGAAATTGTTGATGCTGCTGTTGACTTATGGGCAAAACTGCGGACGACGATGATGTTGCGGTGCTGTTTGGGTTAGTTGCGTTAACACCTTTTTTCGTTTGATTTTTTGGCGAACAAGCCACATTTGTTGTCGCAAACGTATTCGGTGTATTGTTGATCGTTGTTGCATGTGATTGCCCATAGCCGCCTGCTATAGTCGCAGTAGTCGATGAAGCCGAAGTAACAGATGATGATGCTGCTGCGGCGATCGATGATGGGTGTGGGGGGTTAGTAGTGTTGGTGGTGGTTGCGTTGCTGTTTGTATAGTGGCTATTGGAGGAACTAAATATTTGGTGATGTTGTTGTTGCTGCTGTTGCTGATGTTGTTGACGCTTATTGCCCTTCTGTAAATGGAGAAACAATTATTATTGGCATCAAGAAAACACAGGATTTGATCTTTGTCATCTACCTTGTTTAATTGAATGTTATTGGAACCGACCAGCGTGGCATTCAAATCGTTTCCTGTTGTTGTTGCTGTTGTTGTGGCCACATTTTGAAAATTACCCACTAAATTGAGACCACCAGCGGCATTGGCTGTTATACCAATGACACTGGTTGCTGCGGCAGGCGATTGTGATGGACTGGGTTGGAAGACCACGGTGCCAGCATTGGGACTACCATTCGTAAATTGATGTATGGATTGCCGTCGACCGGGTGTGACAGCTTTACGCTCCTGAAAAAGAAAATATTTCGGAGAATATTTGTAAATTAGATATGCTATCCGGAATGGTTTGCTTTTAAAGTTTTGTTATTGTTAAAAGAGGATATTGGCACATAATAAAGTCAACCCCCAAAAATGCGCCCATATAGTCCACCATGAACTTACCTGTTCATGTGTATTGGCATTGGCTAACGGATTGCCCGTTACTAGAAGTACATCCTGGGGAAATGGTGATAACGATGGTGACGGTTGCAAACGTGGACTAGCTGAGATCGATGGTGATGGACTGGGCGTTAGAAACGGACCCGGAGGAGACAATATTCCTGTAAAGATAATACGAAATAAAAATTAGTTCTTTCGTAGAATGGTATGATACAGCTATCCTAAAAATGTAACAAACAAGTACAGTATATTTATCAATGTGTGTATGCATAGATGTGTACACACGCATGTGTAGGTAGGTAGATATGTATATCCTTTTGACTACACAATTATGTATTCATTTCGGTTTTGTTGCTATGACATCCTACTAATAACTCAAAGAGCAAACGAATTCTTGGAATATGTAATTTATTTTATAATAAAAAGGCTTTTGCTCTGGAAGTTTTTGTCGTTTGTGTTGATGCTGGTGATGAGGACGACGACGATGACGTTGATGATGATGTTTTGCCTTGCCGAAACATTAATTATGTATATTGTATAAAGTGTTTTTGTACATCCAACAAATGAGACATAAGCATATAAACATTTCCAGTGCTAGAACTGAATGACACAACACAATTGGGTGGTGTATGGAGGGGTGGCCAGAACTTCAAAGGCATTTCAAATGTAACGTAGTTACCTTGCAGGGTTGGATGGTAATGATACTTGACAAATATTACAGAAGCTTCCCGGTAATGTGATAGATAACTGTACATATATAGAAATTTGGATAAATATTTATTGGAAAAAAGCAACAGTGGCAAGGTTGGTTGTCGTTTCTAGTTACGGACAGAAGTCAATCAAGCTGATTAATTCATCACTGTTTTCTTCGAGGGGCCGGAGTTTTCTTTCTCGATTTATGTAATTTATTTTTATGTGGAATGTAATAAGAATAAATTTGTTGGAGCAGTCAATTTTAAGAAATATAGCTAAAGTGTTTTGATGATCTTTTCGTCAAATATCTTTGTTGGTCGGAAAAGGGGAAGTGATACAAACCGTCTTCCAAGAGCAAGAAAATGCGTTAATATACTACAGGCGAAGCAAACATATATCAATAAGTTGGGTCTGGTCTCATCAGTGAAGATAATTTTCGATTGAGTTCCCGATCATTTGCCTGCATTTTAACGATCCAATCAGGAAAATGCGAATTCGTTGATGATCGGTCGTTTTGGTTCTTGTTTTAACTGATTACTATAAGCTCATAAGACCTACGTCTTTATGCTAAATACCGTATAATAATGTTTGTTGAATACACAGTTCCAAGAAACGACGAGGAATGACAAAACCTGGAATTGCATCAACATTTTGTACGTTTTACGTTTTTATTTCACAAACTGTGGATTCAGTTGGTGTCTGCTTCGGAAAAAACTTCATTATTAAAATTTATTTATTTTATTATATATATGCAGGGTGAGATAAAAAAACTGCAATAAAGTCAAAAGCTATAACTTCTACATTTTTTTTAAATTTTATTGAATGAAAGCAAAAAATGTCGGAAATAGCAAGTATTTTGGCCCATTCCCGGCGAAGCTTTTGCTTGAGTGCGTTTGCATGCCCAAGGTTTTAATTCGCCCTCCAGAATATTTTCGTGATAATATTCGGCATTTATTCTGATGCCACCGTCGAATAATACGAACGGAGAGCGACCATCGGCTGTTATAGGCGGCCCACACCATCACCATGGCCGGCGCTTGAGTTCTGGTGGCCAACCGAAGGTGCACATTTTCATCTGACTTCTTTGGCAAGAAAACACGATCATTTTATTTGTTTACAAACTGCTGTACAAGGAATGTTTTCTCATCGGAAAAAACCAAATTCGGCAGTTCGCCACTTTCGCCCAAGCGAAGTAACTCTTTAGCTCTTTTGAGTCTATTTTCTTTCTGTTGTGGTGTAAGTCCTTGCACTTTTTGGAATTTCAATGGCTTTACCCCGAGCTCATTTTTCAATATTTGCCGAATGGAATATTGCGATATTTTAGCTCAGAGTCATTCTTCGGCCATTGCAACGCGGGTTTCGATCAAGTAGCTTTTAGTATTTTTTTCAGTTGCGGTGTAAGTTCTTGCACTTTTTGGAATTTCAATGGCTTTACCCCGAGCTCATTTTTCAATATTTGCCGAATGGAATATTGCAATATATTTAGCTCCGAGCCATTCTTCGGCTATTGCGACGCGGGTTTCAATCAAGTAGCTTTTAGTATTTTTTTCAGTTGCGGTGTAAGTTCTTGCACTTTTTGGAATTTCAATGGCTTTAACCCGAGCTCATTTTTCAATATTTGCCGAATGGAATATTGCGATATTTTTAGCCCAGGGCCATTCTTCGGCCATTGCGGGTTTCGATTAAGTAGCTTTTAGTAACTTTTTTCTGGAAAATTCTCACCAAAATGCTTTTGTAGGGTTGTAAACAATATAATAAGCTGTCACCGGAATAATTTTAACAGCTGTCGGACGAGTGGCTTAGAAATGACAGTAGTCTGAAGTTGGTTGCAGTTGTTTTTATCTCAACCGAGCTCATTTTTCAATATTTGCCGAATGGAATATTGCGATATTTTTAGCTCAGAGCAATTCTTCGGCCATTGCGACGCGGGTTTCGATCAAGTAGCTTTTAGTAACATTTTTCTGGAGAATTCTCACCAAAATGCTTTTGTAGGGTTGTAAATAATATAATAAGCTGTCACTGGAATAATTTTAACAGCTGTCGGACGAGTGGCTTAGAAATGACAGCAGTCTGAAGTTGGTTGCAGTTTTTTCATCTCAACCTGTGCATATATACTAAAGATTCACTTGAAAAGTGACAGCTTCAGAAATACCGGTGATTCAAAAGAACACCTCCTTTTGCTAGAAAGCACTCTTACTTAATTCAACAGGTTTGGATGGAAAATAAAATTCTTCAAAGCAAACAGAAGACCACAAGTCTTTTTCAATTTAATTAATTTCAAACAGCCACACTAAACCTAAGTCCTCGCTATCTAAGTCTTTCATTGACTTAAAATTAATCTGCCATAGACTCATTACATCATTCTCAAATCCATTCATTCACTTACTCCATTCAAATTTTCTTTCATTTCAAATCGAATCATTTCCACAGATCTTTTACTTAATTCAAACGGACATTATAATGACTTTTCTTGTCCCGCCAGAAGATTTGTAACATTGGAGCATTCTTTCCTTTACATTTTGACGAGAAGTGTATCCGTTCGAAAAAGACCGAGGAGGAAAAATTATAACGTTGCAAACTCTTTTGCTTTGAATGGCCAGAGGAGTTGTGAGGAAAAGGCAGTAATAAAGCCACAGTAATCATTGAATGGAAAACTAAAAGGAAAATGGAAAACTCCAACAGTTTTCTTTATTTCAATTTTATACAGAACAAAGAGAGTGAGAGAGGGGGGTAGCCTCGAGATCTGCTCCATTGTCTTCTTCCTTCTGAGCTTTAAATGCACTTCTTTTAGAGTTATGAACATTTTATCCTCGGTGGGGAATATAACATCAGAGTTGACTTTGAAGTTGAAGGAAAATTTTGCAACAGCCGTTGTTTTTTTCACAATTTTCCATTTAGCCATTCAACAAACCCAGCCATCTGAGGCCATCCACTATGAACGACTCGCATTCGTTTTGATGGTAATTTTTTGCCTGTTTTGTTTCTGTTGCTCTGGCACTGGCCTCTGTTGCTCTGACTATTGTTCGTGTGGTGCATAAACGGTTTTCCTATATATTTTGGCCAAAAGGCATTTAGCCTTTTTGTATCAGGAGTAGAGTATGGCATACAAATTGTGTGCAAATGTGTGTGTTTGAGTAGTATGTGTGTTTTATAATTTTCTACTTTTGTGGCCACGTCATAGCTCGTCTTTCAAATTGCATTAAAATAATAATTTTTCCCAGTTTCTGTGTTGTTCTGTTCTACGTGATGTTGCTGCTTCTTCCTCTGTTACGATTGAATCTTCTTCAAATATGCAAAGTCAAAATAAGGCTTACAGGTATAAAAAAACTTTTATTGAAGAAAAAATTCATTTCTAGCACACAGGGCAAGTACAGAGAGAATACCATGAGATGAGTTTGCTGACGGGATATCCGATAAAAAGTATTGCTACTAAAGGATTTGAATAATTGCATTTTCTAGTTTTGTTTTGAAAATAAGGAAAATGGAAAATTTGATCACAGGGAAAGGAAACAGGACGGCTTAATGTATCATTCATGTATGCCAGCGGGAATGTAACTGAAATATTACAAAAATAATTTTAAATTTAGAAAGGGATAGTAGAAGTAGTTTTTTTTTCATCTGAAATTAATATATACTGTATAAACGAATATGAAATGGACCCTATGAATATATCTTAAATACAGGACATAAGAACACATCAAAAATGTTGGCTTTATTTTTGTATGCCCTCTATGTCTAGATTTGACAGAAGTTAATTGTGTATTAAAATTATTAAGTCAGATCCATGAAAATAAACTCGAAACGACAAGTTTCAAAAAAAAAAAAAAAGAACCATTAAGAGCTTTGTGATTTTTAAGCATATTTTTATAGAATGTTCCTGAAAAAAAAAAAACAAGTCAAAAGCTGTAAGTTCAGCCGGGCCGAACTTTGAGTACCCTCCGAAATTTGGAATTAATTTGGCAATTCTCAAAAACAATAAAATCCGTTAAAAAATTACAATATTCAAAAAAATCGGTAAAAATGTACCTACCAAAATACCGAATATCGGGTTTTACCGTTAAATGGGAGCTCAACGAAGACGTGAACCTGCACAGACAATTTTCTGTCTTAGGCTGTAGTAACCATTACAAACTACAAATACCAAATTTGAAACAATTCCGTTGAAAAATGTCGCTAAAATCATCAAAATACCGAATATCGGGAGGTACCATTATATGGGGGCTATACCAAAACGTGGACCTACATAGCCCATTTTCAATACCAAAAGTCCTGCAGACATAACATACATTTGAGTAAAATTTTATCAATCTACTTCAATTCGTTCGGAAGCTAGAGTGATTTCCACAGACGGACAGACGGACGGACATCGCTAAATCGGCATAGAATTTTATGCTGATCAAGAATATATGTACTTTATAGGGTCTAGAATGTATATTTCGAGGTGTTACAATTATGGTGGAGGGTATAA